TGAATGCTTAGTACATAAAAAAAAAAAAGCAGCAGGAGGGGAAAATTTGCTTCTGATGGGAAAGAACCTGCTTTTTTTTTTTTTTTTTTTTAAATAACTTGGAAGCTACCCGAAATTTGGCCCAGGTAAACTCCCCCAAAATTACTTCCATGTCTGGTGGAGACTTTCAGTCACCTGCAAGGCATTCCCTGCAACAGGCTTCTGGATGCTACCGGGGAATTTAAACGGGAACATCATTCCCCCTAAAACTTGAGGAAGTAAAGGCTTGTTCAGCAGGGCGAGGAGGCAGAGATGTAGCTGTGCACAAATGGAGGGCATTAATGGGGACAGGAACTTTGTCTGGTTGCTTTGGAGCATCCAGACCAGAGCTCTGCTGAGGGGTGGCTCAGGCAGGAGATGCTCCAGCATCTTGGTGCAGTGCCTCAAGTGAGAATTTTCCACTGCAGAACACCGGCTGCTATTTGGGGAAGCATTTGCTGCAGCTCAGCGTTAGGCAGCTGGCACAAACAGAGGATGCTGAGAATTTATGTCTATTGATGTCTCATTTACAGAGCTGCACTGCTTAATTCAGACTCAGAATATCTCCAGAGGATGAAAAGAAGCGAGCGGCAGAATTGAATCACTGGGACGGAGAGAATTCCCTGGACAAACATTTCATAAACACCACTTGGCCTAAAGATAAAAGAACCCATCAGTAAATGCTTTTGTCAATACCCTGGATTTGTTGCATTTCCACATCTAAAATGTGCAGGGCACACAACAGCAGGAAAACATTAAAACCACGCGGTCAGGCTGACAAAGCCCCTTCTATGTATATACACATAAAAAACCCGAATGGTCAAGCCATCTGGGAAAACCAAGGTCACGCAGAAACCTTGAACAAAATTAGTAGAGCTGTACAATCGGAGACGTTTTATGAGCTCCTCACAAAGGCGGTACTTAAAATGAACAAAACAGCTTCCCATGAAAGGGAGCCCTTCCTAATACGCCATAGCACGCAGTTAGATCTCTTCCCTATCAAACCTTTTCTCAAGAGGAGTTTCTGGCACGAACGCTGCTGATACCCGGGGTGGAAGTCCTGCTGCTCCAGCTCTGTCCTGGCCAGTGGAACGTGCTCAGCTTGGTTATAGCTTGGCTGCTACGAGGAAGAATCACACCACTGACAGCCCTTCACTGTTAGGGGACAAAACAGGCTAGCTGTGCTGCCCAGAACACACCACAGGGTTAATATCGATGTTTTTCTGCTATTTGTCTTACCTACGCCTTTTATCCCACAAAGACACAGCCAAAATTTAGCTTCAGGGTACGTCCCCAGGGTAAGGAAGGTCTGAAAAGTGGAAGATGCCCTGAAGATGAAGTGCTCGTCTGGAGCACTGAGAGCTGAGCACACCAAGTCGCCCACCTGGCTGCTCGGTGTTTGTGTTATTGAACCCGCTGCTCCACAAACCACGAGCACTCCTCTGGGAGGGCTGCGATACGGAAAAAAGGAGTTTCAGAGGCACCACAAACATCTCCCGTGCCAAGGAATCCACGCCCACAGCGTGAGAAGCTCATTTTGCACAGGTTCACGACATGTCCCTCGCCACAGACGTTCCCAGAGTTAACTCCTGCGTTAACGTTTCAGCCTTGGCACTCGAAAACCCTCTTCCCCCGTTCATTTCGGTTACACGAGTGCTGCAAAATGATCGGCGATGCAGGAGGAGGAGCTCAGAGAGGAAAGAGCCTTTGGCTTGAGCTGAGCAAGGGAGTGGGGATGCAGCAACCCAGCGTGGTCCCCGTGGAGCTGCAGCAGGTCGGTCGTGGCGTGGGACGGGTCCCCAGGGAGCCGCACACCCAGCCCTGGTGTCCCCTCCTCGCCCCATCTGCCCCTTCAATCACCGCCAGGGTGGGGCCCATTCGCCCAACCCCACACGGGGAATAAAAAGCCCAACAAAGGAAGAGTTACAGCCTCCCTCTCATCTCCCCCTTCCATCATTATTGCCACCGAAGGGCCATTTTATCGCTTGCAGCTGTGGTCGTTCAGCGACAACCTGCTGTGCTCAGAGGCAGATGAGACCTGCACATTTGATCTGCATTAAGCCTGTTTCATGGCTTCACATTTCTAGGTACATTCCAAACGGCAGCACCAACAGCCAAATCTTTTCATCCCCTCCTCTTACTCAGGAGCTCCTGAAATCTGCATTTCTCTCTCGCATCAGGCTTTTCGGTTCAGCATCAGCTAGCAGCCTGTGCTTTCCACCAGCCCCAAGCAAGGGCCAGCGCTCCGGATGCTCCCTGATGGCAGCAAAATCCCCACCTTTTCTCCAGCAGTGTTTATTAGCGGGGCTGCCTTCCATTCCCTTCAGACACAAGGTGCAAATGAAGCAGCTCTTCACACCTAGAAGCTAAGAAGCACAGCACTTGGCTCTCAGGTGCAATGAGGCCTCAGCTTTACCCAGCTTTGGAGGACCTTTCAGAGCAAGGCAGCTGCTCAGCCTCGGTTGTTTGGGGTTGCTTTTTAGGGATGTAAAGTGAGAGGAGCAGAAGTTGAAGTCTGAATGGCACCCTGTGATAGCTTTGCTGTAGAAGCCCCCAGATTTTGAGACACACCAGAATATGGCATGCAGTGGGCAAGCCCATCTGCTCCCTACAGAAACACAGTGCAGCTACAGAGGGCGGTGGGGAGAGGAGACGTGGCAAATAAATGCACAATACAGCCCCTGAGAGGGGGGCAAAAGATTGACTTTACAGTAAAGCACAGCAGCTCCCACCAGAGCCAGAAGGTGCCTCTCACTTCAACACACACCTCTCGGTTTTCCTATTGACCTAAAGCAGCTCACCTCCTTCTTCATGTTGCTTTTGGGGGTGGCCAGAACACAAAATAAGCCCCAAACTGCCTTGCTCCCTGCGATCTAGCCAGTTTCCCCAAGCAGGGCCAAACGTTTCCAGACCCTCTGGCAGAAAGCTGGCAGCTCACTCCGCCTCTCCCCCACGGGTGGTGGGGCTCTTCGATTTCATTTCCAGCCTTCTCGCGGGCAAGAAAACAAGGGAGCCTCCAGAAAACAAATACACTTGGAAATGCCCAGATGATTAAAAGCTGAACTCCTACAGCAGCCAGCTGGTGACCAGCTCAGCCCCTGCACCAGGAAGGTGTCAATTATAAATAATTAAAAGGTAATAGGAAGGAGACACTAAAGTATTAAGCAGATTTCTCCCTGGCTATCTGGAGGTTTCTATTGCTGCCAATCACACCCTTCAGATTGTCCTGGATGTCAGTCATCCCAGCCCTTGCATCAATATGCGAGCTCAGGTTAACATTTGCAAGTCAACTAATTAAGCCTGGTTATGCCTCTGCACATGAAAGCCGAAAATATCAGCAACACCCAGCTCCAGGCTTTAACCGACTTGGAAGCAGAACCTCAAGCTCCTGGATTAGAATTCACCAGGCCAGCTGTTAGCTCCAGCCACGCCAGGGAGAAAGACATGCAGAGGAAGAGGACTTGAAATAATTGTGCCTGGATTTCCCATTTTGAATAGCCAAGCAGGTCTGGTGGTCTAGTCACGCACAGAAGGGGACGCATCCCAAAGATCCGGGGCTCAAATACAAGCTGGACATGAGACTCCAGCTCCAATCCTGCCAGCAGGTAATCTTCAAAAAGATGAGACTGATCCTGCGTCTTTACACTTTCTGAGATTCTCAGGGCACAGCACTGCTGGTGGCACTAGGGCTGCCCCCCTCCAATTGCACAGGAGCTGGCTCGTTTGGTCCAGCACGCTGCGTGCTGTGCCAGCAGGGAGCAAAGGGCCCCTTTTATGTCTGCTCTTCACACTTACCTTCACAACTCAGCACTTTTGGGAAACAATCAAAAGGCCCATTGCACAATTTAGTGCTTTTTGTCAGAAGAAATCTCTGTTAGACAAGTCAGACTGGCCTGGCATGCTCGGAGAGGTAAAGGAAAAGAGCACCACAAAGGATTTACCAGAAACACTCAGAGGCAGGTGACTAATCAGCTCCCTCCATGGGCACGTCCACCAAGGTCAGTGCTAACAAAGCACCGTGCTGGAAGCCCCAGATGTGAAATCCCCTCGCTGAACTCCTGGCAAAGCTCAGCACTGCCCCTTCACACTGGCAGTGCCGCAGCCGTTCAGTGCCTTGACACACACACTCAGAGCCCCTGGGTGGTTCAACCAACAGAAGGTTCTGAACCATCAATAAAGCTTGAAATAAAACCACGACATGAAACAGTGCTGTTGATTGCAGCTTCACGTCCTTTGATTTATATGAAACCACACCTTTTACTTTTTTATTTTATAATACTTTATAATGAGGGAACTCAACTTTGGTATCTAGGGGCTGGAAAGACTCAGGGTATCTCAGCTGAGCTGCTTCACACATGCAGCACCATCCCTGTAACCAGGAGAGACACGAGTTGCTGACACCGTAGGAAGGAATGTGAGAACTGTTTTGAACTGTTTGCTCCCGCACTCAGTTACACGGGGTTACTACGTGGAAAGCTGACACGCTGTGAATCTGAAGGAAAATCTGGCTTTATCTATTTTTCCAGGCCCCAGCTTGTGAACTCTGTACGGTGTGTGACGGCATTCACACTTGGCTTCCACATGCCACCGAAGCAGAACAGGAGATGTGTGATTGTGTCACCTGAGCAGCTTATTCTGGAGGGGAGACCAGAAAATCCCCCACGGTACTCAGCCTCGTTTCAAAAACCCTGGGGAAACCAGGTCGCTCAGGCTCCTGGTGCGTGGACACTTTCAGTACTAGGTGGGAGTGTGGGAACAGAAACACTGTCTGTGACATTAGCTTACAGTGCACGAGAGTTCTGTCCTGCTGAGCTCCTTATTTCCCAAGGTAAATATCTCGACACTTACCCTGCCCTTCCATCTGATCTGCAAGTTCAAGGGCTGGATTTGTTCTTTCAAATGCAGGAGGGAAGGAGTCAGCCTGCTGGGGCAACCCACCGGCCCTGTTTTCCCTTAATCAGTTCCGACAAAAGCTCACTCACCCCTCTTCTGCATGAAGATGAAGAGGTCGTCCAGGAATTCCTTCCGTTCAGGGTCGCTATCCAGTTCATAAAGCTGGAAGGGGAAAATAAAAATAAAGGCACAGTCCACAAGGAAACAGATGAAGTAACAGCATTAGCCTGCTCCAGCAGATCACTGGGGTTTGTACTGGGGGAAAAGAAAGGCAAGGAGGCAAAATGAGGATGGACTGCCACTGTCACTCATATCACTGTCACTCTTCAGTGAACAGTGATAGTTTGAGGACCCTCTTTATGGCTTGTTGCCTTGCTGAGCCCCTCCAGGGGCATTGCAGACTGGCACCTGGAAGGGAACAGGGTTTAACTCGGGCAGTGGAAGCACTGCTGCAGAGCAGGGTTTGAAACCAGCTGAAAGCAAAGGGGAGAGAAGCTATGAAGACAAGCTGGGAAGTGATGAAACAACCAAAAGGAACAGTGGTTAGGGCAGGTTAGTGGTCTGTACCTTTGGGGCACTGTGTGGGAAACTTCTCTGCAGCTTCTCCTCGCCTCATAACTCCCCTCTTCGGGGATTGTCACCTAAGTGACAAACCAAGTCCCTTGGAAGGGGGAGGTGAAAGGACAGAGTTTCCCTGTAACTAATGCCTGGCAGGACAGGCTGCTCTGAAAGAAGCCAGAAAAGCCTCAATAGGAACAATCAGCCTGGAAACACTTTGTCAGTTCCATAGGAAGCTTATTCCAAAGGAGAGGTGCAGCACGTTGCTGTTACCTGCTGATTTTCCAGAAGGGACGGGCACAAATATCACCTCTTGCACAGAAAATCTAATTTTCACCTGTCAAGAACCCTGTGAGGCCACAACGTGACAGGGCTGCAGTCAGTCCCACCGAGATACGGGAGGATATGGAACAAGACAGAAGACAATGCTGCATGTAAAGCAGATTTTAATTCCTTCTTGCTTGCATTGAGGAAGACTCAACATACCTCCATGCAACCTTTTGCTGGCTGTAGTTACTCTTGGGAAACAGATCAACAGCAAAGCAAAAGATTCACTGGGAGAAAAACGTAGTTCAGAGTGCCTATAGGTGCTGCTAGCTGTTCAGTACTCATCTAGCCCAGAAGAAGAGGGGCTTTGGGGTGCTTTTCCTGTGCAGCTCTGTGCTTGCTCACACACCAAGCCCTGGGAAGAAAACACGCTGCTGTGTTTGCGGAGCAATTAGCTGCACCCTTTCAGAAAGGCAGCTCGGTTCAAAATGAATTCCTCTAGCTGATGTGACACGTCGCTGCCACTTTCAGATCTATTACCACAGTGCGAATGGGGTTCCAGAAACAAAACACTCTTCTCCCAGCCAGAGAAAGTATTGCCCAAGGTTTTAAGTGTGAGAAGGCCGGTTACAAGGCTTAGCTCTGGCTCTGTTCCACAGACCACAGGCAAACCAGCCAACTCCGAGCCCTCAAAACAGTGAGGGCTCAGTAGTCATCTTCTGCCACAGCTCAGGGGAAGAAAACCCCAGAGCCAGTCCCTCCCCCCAAACCCCTGTGACCGCACTGACCTTGGCAAAGTCTCGTGAAATTTCTCTTCCTCGGCAGCCGTCACCTTCATCGCTCCAGGTCACGCTGCCGTTCTAGGGGGAGAGAGGAACGAGAGGCTGAAAAAGGTGCCAGGGAAAGGCTTTGGGGACAACTCCAGAAAGCTTGCAGACACACATTTATGGGCACAACACCACGCAAAGGCAGGGAATGGCTTAGACCAAAGAAACTAGAAAGAGCTTTGACCAGCGTACGTGCTAAAAGCCCCTGGTGGAAGGTGGAGGTGCTACCCAGCCGTCCCCTGCTCACACAGAGCTCTCCTCTGTCCTTGTCCAGACGAAGGACCTGCTCCCTGCTCACCTGGAAATGCCCTTCTGGCCTTCCCTGGCTTGCCTGCAAAGCCAAAACCCGAGTATGCCAAAGAGAAAGAGGGAGATGGTACAAGGGGAACGCTTCTCTCCACCCCAGCACCTCTACTCCTGCAAGCTGCCGAATCCGGCTGTTCCACAGAGAAATGGAAACCCAGCTCTGCTGGATAAAGATTCATTCTTCTTAGGCATTAAAAGGATTTCTCTGGTTAGGCTCACTGTGCTTGGTAACTCAGCATCACCCCACAACCAGCACCAGGGCCGGAAACCATCAGAGGCAGCCCCTGGCTGCGTGGCAGGACTGAGAGCAGCAGACCGACCCTGCCAGCTGCCCGAGCATCTTTAAACCACAAACTTTACCTAGGATGTGCTCCAGAGCCCCGTGAGGATAGAGCGCAGCCACCTCCACCTGGCACAGCGCCTCAGCCCACCCTCTGCCCCCACAAACACGCAGCAGGCAGGAGAGAGCTGAAGCAAGCGAGAGGCCCCGGCACGAAAATGCGGGTGAATTAGAGAGGTGGTCCAATATCCGAAACCTCCGAGTCATCTGGTTGTGACACGTCCATTGAATTAGGAAGATGAATAGCTCTTGTCAAGGCCAGCCAAAGCCACATTTCCCCCTTTAAAACCACTGCAGTGAGCCGCCCTAATGCCTGCTGATTTAGTTTGAGCCAGTAATTCCTGCTGGAAAGTCAATTATCCGGCGAGTCCCATCAACTGAGAGATATTTAATGGGGGATTATTGCCACTTCTGTTATGTCAGCTGTTTATTACAGCAGATCAATTCCCAGCCCTCGCTAGGAAGAGATCTGAAGGCCGGTTTTGTTCGCAGGAGGATTCACGGGGGTGTCCTTTGCTAGCAGAGATTAAAAACACGGGTGTTTTGGTTTTTTTCTTTGCCAATTATGGTAACATCCAGCTGCTCCTAAAACCCCACTGACTTAACTCAGATCAACAAACCTGGGCGAAGAGTCAGAGCAGGAAACAAGCTCTTCAGAGGGCAGCAGTTATTCTGCATCCCTGAATTTACCCAACCCAAGGCAAAATGGCTTGCAGAGGGTTGAGCTGCCTTCTTCCCAAGTTTGTGCTTGGCTATAAATCCCCAGGGCAACCCTGCTCACGGTGTTAGAGCCTAAAGAGGGTGCTCCAGAAGCCAAACACTTGTTTTCATCAGGAACTCAGGTCATGCTGAGAGCTTATTCCACTACATTTGAGGATGAGAGAAGAGAAGGGAGCTTCGAGAAGACAATTCTCCACTGGCAGCAGGTTTGAACTTGATAAAATTTTGGCACATGGGATTAGAGCCTCTTCAGGAGCTATTTTGTTGTTTTCTTTGAAGAAAAGGTGGTTAGAATAAGGCACAAGGTGAAGGGTCGATGCAGAAAGTAAGCAGAACATACGTACCTCCATCGGGAGGTGTTTGGGAGCACAGATGTAGTTCTCCCCCCACCCTAGCTAGTGAAAAGGAGCTTAAAGCTGGCCGTGTTTTGCCATATGTCCAGAAAATTGGCTGTCACCTGGTGTGACATGGAGTGATCCGAGGTGAGGGACTGCAGGTGGCATCAGCAGCTGAGGACGAGCATCTTCAGTCCTCCCACTACTTTTATTACAGGCTGGAAATGGTTCCTGGCAGTGGCAGTGGTTGGAACAGCGACCTGAGCACAACTGGAGCAGGGCAACCCACGAAGAGCCCCCTGAAGGTGCCGCGGGTGCTGCACTCGGAGCACAAAATACATTTTGCACAGCGACAGAGCCCGGAGGAAGCGTGGGTATCAAACTTCCTCTCCGTTCCTCCTAGAAAAACAAAGTTGCCCTGTGCTGAGAAGCCTTCTGCAGGAGCAGCAGGAACCTGAGAAATCAATATATCCTCACAAGTCATTAAAAGACCTTTGTATAAGGCAGGCAGCAGGAGCAGGAAGGAAAAAACACTGCGCGGAGAGGCAGCTCGCTCTCTGGGGAGAGCCCTGCCTCTCCCTCCACCGCCCGGCGTCGAGGGAATTTGTGGTGCTTGACAAACAGCCGTTCCCACTGCTCCCAGTCACCACGGGAATGGGTTTACCCCGAGTTCCTTGCAGAAAAAAGGCAGGAGGAGCAGCCAGGCGCTGCTCGGGCAGGGAGCAGCCCGCGCCCAGGCGCACCTCGGGGGCCACCGGCGCGCTCCCCACGAGGCTGCAGCCCTGCCTTCAGCAGCAATTATATCTGCGGCTATTTTAGGATTACTCCCCAACCACCTGGAATATCTTATTAGAGGGAAGCTCAGATGTCCAGAGCAATTTTGGTTTCCAATCCCGTGTTTGAAAGCCAGAGTTAACCCCTTCCTCCAACGCAGGAGTTACCCAGCAGGCGGGGAGGAGAGCGCCAAACACTCTCCTGTTTCGTCCAGTTCACCCTTCTGAGGACAAAAACCTTACAAACAAGCAGCCTGAACTCCTGCCTGCAGGACATCCCTCCCTCAGATGCTGCAACAAGACACCGTGCTCTGTAAAAGCAAAATATTAAGGGACAAAAGCTTAAGGAAATACTAAGGGACAGAGAAAAATGGCTCAGCTGGTCTGGTCTACCAAGGTTTCACCAGAATACAAAACTATTCCAAAGGTAAACCCTAACCTGCTGAACAGGAAAAAGAAAAGAAAACCTCCTGGCTTGAAATTCAGAAATCAGACTGTGCCCCTCCACTGTAGACCTGCAGCCTAGATGGCCAGAAAGCTGCCGAAATCTCCACGTCGGGACCTGGCAAAGTGTGGTGGTGGAGAAGCGAGCCCCTCCCTCACCCCCTGGGTTAACCGAAAGCAGCGAGTCAATGAGAAGGTACAGGGGCAGCAATTTCAGGATTATCAGGGAATCCACAGAAATTCCTTTTGTGGGTAGAGTTAAGCCTTAGGAAGTGAAACAGATGCTATTATAAAGCAAACTGTTGTAGTACAAAACACTGATAAGATCAGGACTACTGCCCTGAGCTGCAAGTTCTCAAGCGTGGAGCACCGAGTTATAATTACTGCGGACACAGCCCGCCTGGTAAAGCCCTGCTGGAATTGGAATAAACCCTTCCCACTCCGCCTAATAACAGAGCTCAATTCAGGATCTCCAGCTTCAAAGCTGGTTGCTGAAAACATTTTAGTGATGTCAGGAATGGCGGGGAGGATGGGAAAGGAAAGGGAAGAAAGGACCCGAGTTAACAGATTAATTACCCGTTTTTATAAAGTTTCTTTTGTGCTCCCTCAACCTAGCGACTGCAGCCCCGACACAATTACTTGCAAAACAGGAATCTATTTCCTCACCCGAAAGGAAAAGTCGGACTCTTTGTGAAGGGCTCCTATTCACAAACACTTGGAGTTAACCACAACCCAAGTGACAAGGAGGCGCGTTCGGCGTTAACATGGCTATGGGAAGAGAAATTCTCACCGCCACCTGAGAGGTCCTCAGATCCACCCTGAAGTGAGAAAGCAGCAGCAGAAGAATGCAACACGTTGGAGCTCTTGCCACCTACCATCTCCGCTGTCAGCTAAATATCTACAAATTGGCACCACGAAGACAAGCTGTGACTGTTCCCGAGGATAAATTTAGTGCCTGAATGAACCCAAAAATGAGCCGCGTCTTCCCCAGGATATCAATGAGCTCCTTACCCCGTGGCTCTGCTGCCAGATATAGCCCAGCTGCTGCTATGCAGCGTAGCCCCGATGAATCCTGTGCACTTGTCCCATGAAACGAGGATCTGGGGGAATGCCCCGATTCAAGCCGTGTGTGGGCTGCAGCCTTGTCCCGGGCGGGCAGCAGCAGAGCGGGTTCGGGATGCCCTCACCTGCCCATTTAGGCAACTCTGTACCCCTGCGAGCCTCTCCCTTTTGGGTGATATCAGCAGCAGCTAACTGCAGGACTTCCAGCCAGGGAGAAGGCAGATGAGCATGTGAGACTTCTTTTCAAGGCTGCCTACAGACAGACACCTTCCCTGTTGCTTTCTGCCCGCAGGTCCCTTTTCCTTTCGAGCACAAACCGCGGGTTCTGCAGTGCAGCACTGAAAGCCAGGAACATCCTCAGTCCCTGGGAGCGTGCAACCACGCACACTCAGGGCTGGAAACCTGGCTCTGGTGGTCATTACCACAATGGTTTCTTGGTTCTCCTCTCCCCTGTGTTCTTTGGTTATTCTGGTGTCTTTTCTAAGCCAAGCTCCAGCCACTGATGCTGCACTTCAAGCTGTGGATCCATACAAACCCCAGTTCAGTTGCTAGCAGGCTATCCCAGGGACAAAGACTTTGCCAAAACAAACCTAAACCACAAATTAAGGAGAAGCAGCCATCGGCCACTTCAAACCACAACCTGCTCCTGCAGAACAAAGCTGTTAATGCAAGAGAAACCAAATGTTGGCTGTCACCTGGTAATGGGGAACTACAACGTTAAAGAATGGCGAGCCATGGGAATTAAAATTGAATCAGCCCTTGAACTGGGCCCTGGATCTCTGAAATAAGCAGGAGACAAGAAATGAGCTCCCCGAGATGCAGCTTTTTTGTTCCTGGGACCTTCACCCCCCACAGATTAATGAGTGTCTCCTGAGCAATACCTGGATACGCATGGCACTCGAGGCAAATACTTCAGGTTATGGAATCTCAGCCACTCGTGCCTAGAGCAAAAGCCAAGTAATTATTTTAAGCTGACTTCTCTTAATCAACACCGTGACCTCTGTAAAAGTTTAGGTCAGGATTTTCAGGAGTGACTGGTGATTTTAGAGGCTCTAACGTGAGACAAGCCTAGAAAAAAACAGCGCAGGAGCTAGGCTGAAATCAGATGGGTGCTTCGCGGAGACTTTACCTCGCTGCATTTAGGAGGGCGCAAAATATCAGCTGGTGCCTCAAAACCCTGCCTTTGTTTCTACATTCCGCGAAGGAATGCACGAACTAACTGCCTGCTGGAAGAGCAGCCTCGCAAAACCTTCGTGCTGCACCAGCCCCGGGTGGGAAAAAGGAGCTTGGGCGGGCAGCAAAGAGACAGGAGCCGTGGTGCTGCCCTCCTGCCCCGCTCTCCCCGGTAACCTAAACCACTGCCAAGCTGCGTGAGGGACCGCAGGATGAGAACCCACAGCCCGCCAGCTGCTGGTTTCCACCTGAGGAATTCAAAGCTGCTTTTTCTTCGGGGAGAGGCAGGCGGCCCCAGCGCCCTTGCGAGGAAGGACGTGGGAGCGGCGATGGATTCGGGCAGGGTTTGTGGGATGAGCTGAGCACACCCCCTGCTCGGCTTTCGGCCCGCAGAGCAAGTCCACTCCCTCCCTCGGTGTTTTGTGCTGCCGGGATTCCCACCGCCCCTGGGTCAGAAGCTGAGCCAGCTCTTTTGTCCGCCGGCTTGTCGTACAATTATTTACTTGGCTGGCCGGCAGTGAATGGAGCCGGGCTTCGCCTCCCTGGGAGCCTCCCTCCACCTTCCTGCCACCTCCACGCCGCGTGCCTCCTGGGCAGCCGCAGCCTGACGCGTTCAAGATGTGCTTCTCTGCGAGGACGTCGCTTTTGGGGAACGAGTCACGCTCAGGGAAGGAACAGGAGTGACTTTCTCCCCTCTGCGAGCAGCAGCCATTACGCATACCACAAATACTCCCCGGGCAGACCTAGCTGGGAGCAGCATAAACTCGCAGGTTATTCGCCTCCAGCCTCAACGGCAGCTTAAAAAAAACACCAGGGGAGGAATCGTTTGGGAAATCAGCCACAGAGCGCAGCCCCTTCTGCATCTCACCCAGATTTTCCTGCCCCAAATCAACTGTTTCAGAGGCAAACAAAAGGAAAAGCCGGGTACCTCTGAGGTACACACCTCAAATGGAACACCTGAAGCAGGTCAGAGCACAGGATTACAGGGGCAGTTTACAGCTGCAGGCACATTTTGGTTCCCCTCTGCAGTCCTGGCAGCAAACTGCCCCCCTGCCTGGGTATTCCCACCTCCTCGCAGCTCCCCGGCTCCGGTCCCGCAGTTAAATTTTTACTCCCTGGTATGCAGGCTGCGCTGGCAAACGCAAACAAGCTGATCTGCAATATTTACCCTACTCAAGGTGAATATACCTCACCTGCAGCATGAATACGAGCCTCGACGGGGCTTTTGGAGCACGCCACAGCACCCCAATGGCCCCGCTCACCTGCGGGACTGGCACGGGGACACCTTGGGGCACAGCAGGCGCCCCTCCAGCCCAGCACTCCACCTTCAGGGCCAGGAACAGATGGACCTTGGGGCAGCACGAGAGCCTGCCCGCTTCCTGCCATCCTCTCCGACCCTTCCCCACCCCTAGAGCTGCTGCGGCGGGGCTGGTGCTCCTCCATAACCCATCTCCTTGACATCCATGAGTTTCACCAGCTCCTTTCTTTACCTGTTGTACTGAAATGGATCCATTTGACACAGCAAGGATTAAGTTTTGCTTCCCAGAGCTTTGTGCACCTCTCCTTCCCCACCACACTGGCCTGAAGTCAGAGTAGTTTAGGCTGCAGCCACCACCCAAACACTCGATGGCTGCAGAAATGCCACGGATCTGGGCCAAAGCAGCTGCCTCAGCACCAGTTCATGGCACATCAGGTGGAAAACAGCTCGGACAGCGCTGCTCTGCCACGCTGTGCCTGCTGCAACACACTTGGAGCTGCCCTCCCGAGCTATTTCGTTGCAACTCACAGACTCTCACGAGATAGGCAAGGACTGCCACGAAGCACGGTGCCATCCCTGGTGGCATCCGCCACGTTAGGAGCACAAACAGCTGAAGCCTCGGTGTATTTTTGAGGCTGAGCCCCTGAAACCAGAGTCCTGCCCTGCATTCCCCAGCCCAAAAGAAGAAGTTTTTGTCAGCCATTACAATCCAGCAAATCCTGAAGGAGTCTCTGTAGTGATTGTGCCCCGACTGACACAGCCACCCTTCGTTTCCCTACAGCAGCTCCTCGTTTGGGGCAGCTCTTCTGGAGAAGCCAGCACGGAGAAACCACAGGGCAGGAGCCTGCAGCGGGCTCTGAGCGGGCTGGGAGAAGTAATAAGGCTTGTGGAGGTTTAACAGTTCCCCCTCAAACCACTGCCCATGAAAGTGTAAAGCAAATAATCTCGTGTGTGCGACCAGCAGCAGACTTTTCACCGTTTATCAGCCGCTGCTGAGCAGCTCGGGCCTTTTTACCTCATTGTGTTTGCAAGAGGGGAGGAGGGAAAGAAAACAGATCTGGTTTTGTGCGTATGAAGCTTCTGATCACAGACAAAAAACGATCTGAAAACCTAACCCCGCTCACACTCGGGTTAACACCTGTAGGAGAGGACAGTTAAAGCCCACTCTTCATTTTGTTATTTTAATTGCAGCCACGCAGCCCCTCAGCCCCATTTCTGAACAGGTACAGATGCTGGAAACGTCCCTAAAAGGCTGTGCAGGCCAGCTCTGCACCAACACAGCCCACAGGCGTTGTACTGCCCGAAACACCTGCTTATAGCAGAAACAATCACCGATCCTTTGGCATTTAGGTATGAAATCTGCACCTGCAAAGTGAGCAGAGCTGCAGGCCTCAGAGAAAAACTAGGAGGAGTGCAGCGGGGAAGCTCAGCTCTGCTCCTGGCCCCTTCCCGCAGCAGCCAGGCTGCAGATACGGCCCCGAGGAGGGAGGAGGGACCGAGGGCAGCACTCACCTGCTTGAGCTGCTCGTCCAACCTCCAGCGTGCGGCCGGGGAGCCGGAGTAGGGCTGCTTGGCAGTGTCTTTACCCTGTTCTTCTCTGCCCTGCTGTCCCCGCGGGTGCCCCGCGGCCGGAGGAGGGTTGGAGGTCGAGGCCACTCTTTGGTTGTGCTGGGCGGCTTTGGGAGCGTGGAAGTATTTCAGAGCGGAGCACGGCTCCTTCCCAGTCACATCGGCGCCGTCCTCCAGATCTCCGCCTTCCAACCCGCCTTCCTCCTCCTCCTCGTCTTCCTCCTCTTCCTCGTCCTCCTCCTCCTCTTCTTCCGGCTCCGAATTCATGCTGCTCTCGTCGAAAGCCCGCGCGGCCCCGGCGGCGGCCGGGCTTCTGCCCAGGGAACCCCCGCTGGAGCCGCCCGAAGGCCGGCCGGCCGCGGCTGCCAGCACTGCCTGCTGCACCGCCAGCTGCTGCGTGTAGAGCAGCTGGGCCTCCCGCAGCTGCCTCTGCTGCCGCTCCCTGGAATCCATCTGCAGAGGGCTTTGCTGCTTCTGCTGCTGCTTCTGCAGCTGCTCGACCACGGCTTCCAGCTTCATCCCGCCCGGAGCATGGCTGGGAAGAGAGGGGGGCGCCGGGGCTGCAGCGGGCAGGGTTCGAGCCCCGGCCTTGGGAGACGGGCGGAATCTGAAAGAGAGGCAAATATTTGTCCGTATGAATATAAACCGCTTTCATCTTTTCCCCAGGAAGAGGATAAATAGAGTGCAAAGCCAATACTCTTTCCTGTGCAGGAGACCGTGAAACAATCAGCTTCGTGTTTAACAGCCCCGGGCTCAAACTTGCATTCAATTTTCAGGCCGTTTAATTGTATCTGCGAGCCGAACACATTTGCTAGAACCTCGGCTTCGTGTGCCCCGCGGACAGGACAGCAGCTGAAATGCCTTTGTCCGCTGGCCCAGCCGCTCGTTTTCCCCCGCAATCCTCCCGTGCCTGCTCAGCAATCGCTCCTGAAACACTGGCTTTAGCGTTTGGGGCTCGCTCCTTCCGAAAACACTGCCTTAAAAGGAGACGGCCGGGCCCTGATCTCACCATATTTCTATTAAGAAACGTGCAAGGCTTTACGGTGGGCCGCTCCTCTCCCAGGTCTTTAATGCTTTCGTTGTTTCACCCCTTTCTTTGTGCTTCCAACACCAAACACTATTTTTAGCTGTTGTTTTTTTTCCCCAAGGTGAGGAAAGGCAGCCCCAAACCCCCAGCAGGGCACGGGGCAGCTCCTGCCTCCGCTCCCCCTTTGATTTTCTTGGGGAAAACGCCCTGGAAACCCCATTCTGAGCCAGCCTCAGGCTCCTTTTGGGGCAAAACCCCCCAGAAAAGACACAGAGCTCTGACTGCTGCACTTCTGCTTGCCATCAGCCTCTGCCGGACTCCGTGTCCTGCTGGCAGGGAGGGTCCCGCCGGGCTTTGCAACGCAAGGAGCCGCTGAACCAGGAGGTCTCCCCGCTGCCCCCCGGAACAAAATCCTGCCTCCTGGGGGAAACAAAGGGCGGGCGAACCTCCGGCAAGCCGAGGCACCTCCCGGCCGCCTCCCGCCCCAAGCGGGGCCGGGTCAGAGCCGGGCGGCCCCCAGCAGGCTGAACCCACAGGGACCCTCCTAAAGCCAGAACCCCGGGGGGAGCCTGGCTCCAGGGTGGCCTCGAGGGAACCTGAGGGGTCTCGGAAGCTCGTGTGAGGGAATAGGGGGGGGAAATGGGGAAATAAAGGGGGCAATAAAGGAGGAAATAGGGAAATAAAGGGGGAAATGGGGAAATAAAGGGGGAAATAAAGGGGGAAATTGGGCGATAAAGGGGGAAATGGGGCGATCAGCGGCCCGATCGCCTTGGGCAGCTGACGGTGAGCTCCCTGCGGGGCCATGCCGGGTTTTGGGGGGACCCCCGAGAGCCCCCCGAGGAGGCGAGCTCCGAACACGGAGGCGTCGCAGCCTCACGACATGTCGCGATAGCAGGAGGGAGGGCGACGGCGAGGGGGCTGGCGGGGCAGCGAGCCCGCTGCGGGTTTCACCGCCCGGTTCAGGGCCTGGCACCGTCCCGGTGACCCCCCCCCGGCTCCCCACACGCCAAATTTGGGGTGGATTTCCACCAATTCAACCCCCCCGGCGCGTCCCAACGCCGAACAAAGCCCCAACAGCCCCCAAACCCCGCGGGCCCAGCCCCGAGCCCACCGAGGGGGGGGGGGGGGGAAGGCCTCAAACCCTCCCCCGGGGCTCCCCCAAGCCCGGTCCCGGCGCCCCCCCCGCCCCCCGGCGCTGCCTCCCCGCGGCCCCCTGCCTCCCCCCCGGGCTCCCCGGGCTCCGTTACCTGTGGCTCGGCCCGGCCGTGCCGGCTGCGGCCCCCCTCACGCTGCCGCCCGGGCCCCGCCCGCCGCCGCCGCCACCGCCCCCCCGGCCCCGGGCCCGCCCCGCCTCAGCCCCACCGGAAACGGGGCCGCGGGGAGGGGGGGGCGGTGCCCGGCCCCGGAAGCGAGGCGGGAACTTCCGGGTGCGGCCCCGGCAACGGTGGAGCCCGGAAGGGGCGGGACGGATGGTGAGGGAAAGGTGGTTCGGCCAATGGGACGGCGAGGATGGAGCGGCTTCCGGTTCCGGGGGTATAAAAGGAAGGGAGCGGGGCGGGGCTGGGCAGTCGGAGGCGAGGCGGCGGCGGCGCAGGTGGGTATGCGGGGGGCGGCCTTGGTGGGGGGTACCGGGGGGGTGCTGGGGAAATAGGGGGCAGGGGGCGGCCCTGGAGGGTTTTGGGGGATGTGGGGAGGAGAAGGGCAGCCCTGAGAGGATTTTTGGAGGGTAGGGTGAGGGGGGCAGCCCTCAGGGGCCTTTTTGGGGGAGGGTTTGTGCCCACCGGGGGTTTTGGGGGGAGGAGGGGTGTCCTGAGGGGTCTTTTTCGGTTAGGGGGAAAGAGGGGGTGTTATTGAGGGGGTTTTGGGGTGGAGGGAGATGGGGGTGCCCTGAGGGTTTTCTTTGTGGGGAGGAGGGTGGCCCTCAGGAGGCTTGGAGTAGGGGTGGGGAGAGAAATTTTCCTTGTTTTTCTTTTTTTTTTTTTTTTGAGGGGTGTCTTTGAGGCTCTTTTTTTGGTAAGGGAAAAGGGGATGTCCCTAAGGTTTTTTGGGGGGACGTGGGGGAGAAGAGGGCCTCCCTGGGGAGATTTTTTTTTGGGGGGGGGGGGGGATGTTGTGGGTGTCCTGGCTCCTCAGGGTGTGCATGCTGTGCGGGGTTAGGTCACCCTGCTGCCTTTCTGGCACCCCCAGGACCCATCTTGGAGTCTCCTCCATGCCCCTTCTCACTCCCTGGCCATTTCCAGTGCCCTGACCCCTCTGGTCCTTCATCACACAAGGGCAGGGCCCTTGCAGAGGTGCTCTGTGACCCCCCCCTCCTTGTCCCCCAGGTGCATTCAGCATGGCAGACGAGGAGATCGCTGCCCTCGTGGTGGACAATGGCTCAGGCATGTGCAAGGCGGGCTTCGCGGGGGATGACGCTCCCCGGGCCGTGTTCCCCTCCATCGTGGGGCGCCCCCGGCACCAGGGCGTGATGGTGGGCATGGGGCAGAAGGACAGCTACGTGGGTGACGAGGCGCAGAGCAAGAGGGGCATCCTCACCCTGAAGTACCCCATCGAGCACGGCATCGTCACCAACTGGGACGACATGGAGAAGATCTGGCACCACACCTTCTACAACGAGCTGCGCGTGGCCCCGGAGGAGCACCCGGTGCTGCTCACCGAGGCTCCCCTCAACCCTAAAGCCAACCGGGAGAAGATGACCCAGATCATGTTCGAGACCTTCAACACCCCGGCCATGTACGTGGCCATCCAGGCCGTGCTGTCGCTCTACGCCTCCGGCCGCACCACCGGCATCGTGATGGACTCCGGCGACGGCGTCACCCACACCGTGCCCATCTACGAGGGCTACGCGCTGCCCCACGCCATCCTGCGCCTCGACCTGGCCGGCCGTGACCTCACGGACTACCTGATGAAGATCCTGACGGAGCGAGGCTACAGCTTCACCACCACGGCCGAGAGGGAGATCGTGCGGGACATCAAGGAGAAGCTGTGCTACGTCGCCCTGGACTTCGAGCAGGAGATGGCCACGGCCGCCTCGTCCTCCTCGCTGGAGAAGAGCTACGAGCTGCCCGACGGGCAGGTGATCACCATCGGCAACGAGCGGTTCCGCTGCCCCGAGGCCATCTTCCAGCCCTCCTTCCTGGGCATGGAGTCCTGCGGCATCCACGAGACCACCTTCAACTCCATCATGAAGTGCGACGTGGACATCCGCAAGGACCTGTACGCCAACACCGTGCTGTCGGGCGGCACCACCATGTACCCGGGCATTGCCGACAGGATGCAGAAGGAGATCACGGCCCTGGCGCCCAGCACCATGAAGATCAAAATCATCGCCCCGCCGGAGCGCAAGTACTCCGTCTGGATCGGCGGCTCCATCCTGGCCTCCCTCTCCACCTTCCAGCAGATGTGGATCAGCAAGCAGGAGTACGACGAGTCCGGCCCCTCCATCGTCCACCGCAAGTGCTTCTAGAGGGGCTGCTGGCAGCCACCCGGGGCGCCCCCACTCCCCCCTGTGAGGAGGAGGAGGTGCTGCAGGTCTTCGGGGAGCTCTCCCTTTGCTTCGGACCACTCTTGTTTGACTGTTGGTGTCCTAATCTGGTGAGGTACCGAGTAGTAACGAGCAGTAAGCATTTTAACGGCCCTGCCACGATTCGGCCAGTTTGTGACTAGAGGTTTGGTTTTGTTTTTAGCAGAGGAAGCGCAGCAACCCCTCAGGCTGAGGTTCAGGGGCTGGCGGCTCCTCCTGGTAGCTGCGCTGAGGCTCTGAAGGTAGAGGGAGGGTTGTTCACGTTTCCTGTGTAACACTAATAGGATGACACTAAAGTAGGCTCGTCACCTTTAGGTTTGTCCACCTTTAGGTTTGTCACAACTGACTTATTTGTAGGAAAACAAATAAAACATTAGTCTTAAAACTATGCAGTGGTATTTCTTGCATTCTTTGGAGGGGGCTGGGTCTCCTTGCTCCAGGTGCTGGGTAAGGCCAGGCTTTGCACTCGGGCTGAACCCTGCGTGTCTGCAACTCCGAAAGCAGAACTGGGAGTGCTGCTGTGCAGAGCGTGTCGTGACACTGTCTGAGGCACGAGCCATTTAAAGAACTGTTAGGAAGGAAAACTTGCCTGGTATGTGGCTCTTGCAGCCTTTCTGGACTTTCATGGTAACTTGGCTTTTTTTAGAACATAAACAGCCCTTCCTGTCAGAAAAGCGAGCAGGCTGGCACAGGTTTTGGGGGCAGAGGAGCAGCTTCTCCTTTTTTGGGATCCCGTGAGGAGATGGAGCAGCAGATGCTCCTGAAGCTCCATTAGCCTGGGAAAGTCTTGCTGTGGGAGGGTTGAGCTGCCCTACAGAAACTCCTCCTCAGCACGAAGAGCCGGGGGAAGGACAGAAACATTTAATTCAGCGCTGCTGACACAGAGGCAGCCTGTGCGCATGGGGAGGGGAGCAGCAGTGATGCCTCCCCACGGGCTCCCACCCCCCAGGACAGCTGCCCTCCTGCCGAGCCTTGCTGGGAGCGAGGGGCTGCTCCTGCCGTGCCTCAGGCCCTGCTGCCAGCCCCCCGTTTCCATGCAGCCCCCCCTTGCGTTGTGATTCCCCCCCGCCGGGAGGCGCCGCGGGGCCGCCTCCTCCCCCCGCGCTCTGGGCGGCAAAAGAGGCTCGTCGACCCTCCTCCCGCTTTTAAACCCCCAGCCGGCCTCCCATTGGCTCTTCCTCCCACCTCCCCCCTAAACTGACCAATCAGCGGCGCCTCCCTTAGCGGACTACACTTCCCAGGGCTCCCCCGCGGCGGGGCGGGAGCGGCGTTTCCGTTTCCGGCGCTGTGTTGCCGGAAGAGAAGCGGCGGCGGCGGCGTGTGAGGGGAGCTCTGGGGCCGCGCTCGGCCGGGACCCCCCGGGACCCCCCCAGACCCCCCCCGGGCAGCTCCGCAGCGGTTCCGGAGGCGTTCGGCGGCCTCGCCCCGCGGTTGGCGCCCCCCGGCATGGCGCTGCCCGAGTGGCACATCGCCGTGAAGCTGGCGGACCAGCCGCTGGCCCCCAAATCCATCCTGCGCCTGCCCGAGACGGAGCTGGGCGAGTGCCCGCTGGGCGGCTGCAGCATCTCCTGCCTCAAGCAGCTCATCACCGGCCGGCTGCAGGAGTCCGTGCCCGACCCCGAGCTCATCGGTAGGAGCCGGGCCGGGGGGGGTTGTGTGAGCGGGCAGGTTGCGTGGTGCTCCAGGGGGGGTCCAGAGGTTCTGCTGCAGCTGTCTGAGCGCATTGTGGGGTCGGTGCGCTTGTTAAAGAGACTTTTGGCAGAGTTTACTGACACCAGCGTGTCTGCGGGAGAGAGCTCAGCTCTTCTAAAGGAGGCAGTGAGAACATATCTGTGAATATCAGCTCGGATTTCCTCTCGTTTTTCCTGTCATGATGAAGCAGCTCAGCGGGCAGGGCATTATCCTTGTAGGCAGGGGAACGTCCCCACACAGTTCTTGGTTCTTAAGGGCTCTGAGCTCTTTCTGAGCACGTTGTAGGTGTTTGTCTTGTCTTCACGTGTTTTTCTCTTCCTCTAGATCTGATCTACTGCGGCCGTAAGCTGAGGGATGACCAGACGCTTGATTTTTACGGCATCCAGTCAGGCTCCACTGTTCACGTGCTGCGCAAGTCCTGGCCTGAGCCTGACCAGAAACCAGGTGAGGAGGAGGTGGTGTGTGAGGAACAGCCCGGCTCCTCTTGGGGATTTGCTTCTGGGAGGCTGGTGCAGGGTTTGGGGGCGGAACCGACCTGTTTGTGCACTCCACCTGTTAAAGCAGCAAATGGGGTAGGGTTAGGGAATGAATCATGTCACGGGGCGAGCAAACATCCCTGCCTTACGTGGGTGTGCTTGATTTTAGGGTGTTGCCAGAGAATCAGGAATGAAATGTCTCCATACTGTAGGTTGAGGGGAAAACCAGGCTCGCGTGTGCCTAATTGTAGAATGAATTGTGTTAATTTAGGGCCGTTACTGTAATATGCTTCCTCCTGTGCATGTAGGAAGGTACATTTATATATTTTTGCATGCCTGGGAGCTGGGAGTGCTGTCTTTCCTCTCTCAGAGCCCGTGGATAAGGTGGCAGCAGTTCGGGAGTTCCGAGTGCTTCACACTGCCCTGCACAGCAGCCCTGCCTACAGAGATGCGGTGAGCGAGGCTGCACAATTTGTCTGGCTGCCTTTTGTCTGTCTTCCTCACTGAAGAAAGGCCCTGAGTGGGGCCTTGTTGCGTGCTGCTGCTGATCCCTTCTGATTTCTCTGGCAGGTCTTCAAAATGCTGGGGAACAAGGAGTCGCTGGATCAGATCATTGTGGCTACTCCTGGCCTCAGCAGTGACCCGGTTGCTTTGGGTGAGTCCAGACGTCACCCAGAGGGTCTGAAGGAAGCCAGATAAAGATGGCTTCAGTATAAAACAAACACTTTAATTCAAGCACTAAAATAAACTCTTAAAGAGTGTTTAATTCCTGACGTATGGGATGGGGTCACAACTTCTCGCAGCCAGCTGGGTGCCAGGGTTGATCCTGCTAGGGAAGCCCCATCCCGGGGGTGTGGCTGTGATTCAGCCTCTCTCTAGGAAGGCACAAAAGGTTTCAGAGAACAATAATAGGGTGCTTACTGTGTCTCTTTGTGACTCACTCGCTTCCTGAAAAACAATTCATTTGTTTTCTTCCCATGATTTAACCGGCTCCTGTGGATTTGTATCCTGTCTCGTACTGGTCATGTCTCCTGGTCCCTCCCAGGAGTGCTGCAGGACAAGGATCTCTTCTCAGTGTTTGCAGACCCCAACATGCTGGACACGTAAGCTGGTGCAGTGACTGGGCTGTGCATTTGTTGTGCTCCTGTTTAGTACTTTTCCCACCCAAACGGGGAGCATTTTGCTGCTGGGCAGCCACAGTCAGCATCTGAAGTGGTGTTGGCTTTATAAATTTCTTTGCTAGTATCAAGCTGCTGCTTTCTCAGCCCCCTCATGTATGTGATTTATTTTCCCCCTCTCCCTCCAGGCTAATCCCAGCTCACCCTGCCCTGGTGAACGCCATCGTGCTGGTGCTGCACTCGGTGGCGGGCAGCACCCCGCTCCCCGCCCCGGAGACATCCTCCCGAGGCATGTCCTCCAGCTCCTACCGTGACATGCCAGGTGTGTGCAGCCTGCAGGCTTCGTCTGCAGGGAAATCCTTGCTGGGGCTGATGCAGAGCCTTCCCCGGGCTGGAGGCAAAAGAAGTTTGGGCTCCTGAGCAAGGAGGAGCGTGTGTTGTGGTTTGCTGGGTTGTGTCGACAAAGGCTGATCTCAGCCAGGGCAACCTCAGAGCCTCTCCTGGCCACACACGTGTAATCTCTGTGGGTAGCAGGGTGCTGTGAGCTCTGTTTTGCACAAATTAGGGGCTTAACCAGTGCCTTAGCTGGGGCTGAGCCTGGTCCTGTGGCCAAGGCCTCTGTGGGATTCTAATTCGGTGCCCAGTTCCTGCCAGCACCTAGTTCTCTGCATCTGGTGATTCTTCCTTCTCTTGCAGGTGGCTTCCTGTTTGAAGGTCTCTCCGATGACGAAGATGACTTTCACCAGGTAATTGGCAGGCCAGGTCAGGTGGGGCAGCTGTTTTGGGCTTGCTTTATGGGTTTAACAGGTAGCTCTTAAAGACTTTAAAGGTTTTCTCTCTTATCTCAAGAACAGCGCGAGATCCTCTGCCTCACGGCGGTGTTGGGAAGATAAATATCTTTTGTTTTTCAGCTGATGGATGAAATATTAAAAGGCTTATAGCCAGTTCAGCAGCTTTAGAGTAGTTGGGTTTGGAAAAAAACACGGCTGATCGCCCGGTGTGCTTCTTTTAACAAGTTCCACGTTTGAATTTTGAATACAGTAGAGAGGAGGTCCCTGGGAATAAGCACACGAGCTAGGCCTTAGTGAGACACGGGCACTGACACCAGAGGTGCTTTTCTCTCCTTGCAGAGCACGAGGTCAACGCCGTCCAGCAGCACCTCTGGCTCCCGCCCGGCTTCCCTCGGCTACTCGGGGGCTGCAGGGCCCAGGCCCATCACCCAGAGCGAGCTGGCGACAGCGCTGGCACTGGCCAGCACCCCGGAGAGCAGCTCCCACACGCCTACCCCTGGCACCCAGGTACAGCAGCTGGGGGTGTCGTGAACTGCAGAGCGAGCCCTGCTCAGCTCCGGGAGCCCTCTCAGTCTGGGGTCTCCTCCAGATGGGCTGGGGGAGCGCCCCCCTGACCCCTGCACACCTCATCTCCTCCTAGGGTCACTCCTCTGGGACCTCCCCGATGTCATCCAGCGTCCAGTCGGGGACACCCATCACCAACGACCTCTTCAGCCAGGCCTTGCAGCACGCCCTGCAGGCCTCGGGGCAGCCCAGCCTGCAGGTCAGTGGCTCAGCCTCTTCTTCTGGGGACCTGTGAAAGCTCCGCGTGTTGTTGGGTGCTGCGGGGTGGAGGTGGTTCTTCCAGCTGCCTTCTGTGGCAGGACAGCGAGCTGGAAGGGGAGAAGAGCTTGGAGGAGGCGCAGCAGAGCGATGTTAAAGGGCTGAGTGGGATGGGAGGGATGGGCTGGGGGCTTTGGGGTATGCACTTGTGAGTCAGAGAGGTGGGAGAATCCGGCGTGGCAGAGGGGGCTGTGGGGAAGGCTGTCGTGTTACTGCTTGGCCTCTCGCACCTACTCTTGGCTTCTTTTGTTTCCTGTCCGTAGAGCCAGTGGCAACCCCAGCTGCAGCAGCTGCGAGACATGGGCATACACGATGATGAGCTGAGCCTCCGGGCCCTGCAGGCCACTGGAGGGGACATCCAGGCTGCCCTGGAGCTCATCTTTGCTGGCGGGGCTCCCTAGCTTTGGGCAGGACCGGTGTGTGGCACCGTGACGTTCCTCACCCTGGGACTCGGCCCCACAGCTCTGCTCTGCGCTGGGGCTGGGAGCTGCTGGGGCTCGGCTCCTGTCCTCACAGGTGGGCTGTGCGACCCTGGCTGAGAGCACCGAGGCTGCATCCTCCAGCTCCACTGGTAACCTCCCTCTGGTCTCCCCCTTCTCCCTGTTCTGCTCGTCAGAGATGAGACCTCAGAGCTCTGCTCAGCACGCAGGGGCAGCTCTCGTGTGCTGGGGGATGCTCTGGTCTGGCAACACCCCCCCCCGCCTGCTGTGTGATCCCTGCCCGCCTGGCGTGCCTCGGTCTCGTCTCGTTCTGTCCTTGTGGTTCCCCTGTGTCTGACTGCATTAAAGGGACTGTGTTCACCTGCCTCGTGTTTTGGGTTGTCATCCATCCCGGGGGGGGTGTGCTTGTTGCAGCCTGGCTGCAGTATGGATCTGCCTGTTGTAGGGTGGCTGTGTCGGCAGAGGGCACTCCCCTTACAGAGCAAAACGCCTCCTCTGTCCCTTAGTTACTAAGAGAACGTTGTGCTGGGCGTGAGGCTTAACCTGCAGCCCTCCTCCTGTGAGTTAGGCCTGTAAAAACTAATTGTGCTACAGGCACTCTGAGAGAAGTGCCACAAAGGAGCATCGCATCTCCTTTTCGGCACAAGCCTCTGTTCTCAGCTGGTGTCAGCTGTTCTCAGCTCTCTGGTGGTGGCTGGTACAGTCCTGCACGGCGCTGTGGTGCAGGAGTTCACGGCCACCAGCAGGTGACAGCAGGAACGTGACCAGCAGAGGATTGAGGCAGGTGCTGCCTGGGAGAGGTGCGTTGTTTCTGACACCCCGGGTTACTCTGCGGGGCTGCAGTTGGTGTTTCCAAAGTGGCTTCTAATCCCTGGTGCCCCGTTCGAGGCGCCCAGGACCTGCACTGCAAAGGCAATCAAACGATCTTGCCTGTAATTAGCTAATGGGAACTGAGATGTTGGAGCCAGAGGCAGACCTGGCTTGGCTCTGCTTGTACCATCAAGGTTAATAAGGCATGGAAATGGGAACTGGTCTGCCCCAAATGCTGCAATATGGCAAGAGGGAGGCTGAAAGCAGAAAATGATCCATTACCTTCCGGCCACCTGCGTGGCTCTAATTTCCAAGTGCTGTCATTGTTTGCTGATAGTGTCAGCTATCACCAGCCATGCTGGATCATTCTCTCCAGGACAGCTTATCAACTGATAGATTTAATCCCGGCTAGAGGATTAAACCTCCCAGGAGGGAGGGACTGGCTTTGTTTTTCAACGTGCAGGCGATAAGATCTGATGGCTATCGTAAGGTCAGGTGGCTTTCCTGCCTCGATACACCCTTCCTGGACACGGCTCTCACCACCTGCCTCGTGAACCCCCTCCAGGGGACGGCTGTGACTTCACGTGGACAAGAACAGATTAACTGGTTCCCATCCCTGGTGCCTTCACGCTTTGCTTTGCTGGAATGGGTGGCATGTGCCCGGCATCCTCCCGCCCTTTCCTGCTGTGAGATGAGCCCTGCTGTCAGCCCCGAATCCTCCCGAGGCGAGCTGGGGATTAGCTGTATCACAGCTGTTGCGGCGGTGCTGGAGCTGAGTGTCCTGAAGCCCCCAGACCCGTGCAGGAGTTGCTTTGGGACTGGGGCTGGCTTGTTTGCTAGGCTGTGCCCTGTCAGTTCTCAGCACAGACTGGGAACAGCTCGGGGCTGTTGGTGTCCCCACTTTATTCCTTTATCTTCCCTTGCTATTATGATTTGATCTCTTTGACCAAGGCTTTGTATAAAGCAGCTTCTTTCCATTATACGGGCTGTTCCTGCTTTCCCCCGTGTTCCCAGATAGCTGAGAATCGCCTGGAGGTTTTGCATAAAGAGGATTTCTATTTCTTTCGCAAATCATGTTACTTGGCTTGGAGCACCACATCAGACGCGTTCTCTGCCTGAAACGGCTACATAGCAGAGAACTTGGCACTGATGTCGTTCGCACCCGACTGATGCGTGTGCTTCGCTTCCCTCATCTTGCCTGTCCCTGCCTAGAATAGAAATGTTCGGCAGCCAGGCGCATTTAGAGAGGCTCTGCCTGGCCCCTGCGGGGCTGCTGATGGAGGGGGAAGGACTTTGATGCGGGAGGCTCTTGGAAGAGGCGAGCAGGAGATGCGAGTGCCTCATCTCCAGCTCTCCGGCAGCCAGGTGAGCGCTGCTTCCTCGCCTGCTCCGATTGCTGAGCGCCTCCTGCCCCCCAGCCCCCAGCTGAAAGCGATGCTGTGTGCAGGGGAAGCTCAGCATCAGCCCGGGGGGGGCGGCTGCAGGAGGTGGCGTGAGGTCTGTCTGAGCCTGTCCCGGCCCCTCCAGCTGCTGGAGCCCTAAACTGGGTATGAGGCAGAACTGGCAGGACTGGGAGATGCTGATTCTTGCTGAGAAAGCAGCTTGAGCGAGGCACCGACTTGCTGGAGCTCAACAGATTGTGCTCTTTACGAGCAAGTTGCAGCGAGCTGCCTCCCACCTGCCTGCTCCCTGCGGTCCTCCCTTGGGGTCCCTGCTCCTGTCCCAGCACCCGTCACAGCCTCAGCGCTCAGCCTAACGGTGCACCCGGTCCCGTAGGGTCTCAGCTCGGCCGTGTTGTCCCTCTGCTGCCCCATTTCCCCGCATTTCGGCCATCAGCCAGCGTCCGTGGGCTGAGCGTCTGAGCGGCTGTGCGGTGGGAGCAGCTGCAAGGTGTTTGCTGAAAGCATTTGGCTGCCCCTGCGGGAGGGGTGGAGGTCAGGCCGCAGTTCCCCGACGTAAGTGCTTTCATTAGGGACTTTCTGCTTCTGACATCAAAGAGAAATTTTTGGTTCTGTTCCCACCTAACCTCGCTGTGGAAGTGCCGAGGGAAGCGGCAGCAGCGGGTGTTTTCAGCAGTAATGGCAGCAGCTGGTCCTGCTCCTGGCTTCTGCTAATCTCGTTATTTGTTCCACCGCCTGACCATCAATGCCGGCGTGTCACGGGCACCTGCAGGGGCTGGCAGCTTGGCTGGGACGTCGGCTCTTCACCAGAGGAGCCCTTCTCCTCTACTTTAGCCACCTTGATGGCTTTTTTTTGGCCTTGTTTCTTTTTGCCAAAGGCAGCCCTGGGCTGGCTGTCTCCGCGAGGAGCAGAGCAGTGCTGTGGGAGGGTGGTTCTGCAGCAGGAGAGGAGAGCTGACGAAGCAGAATCTCCCAGGCTTCACATCCATGACTGCTTCTGCTGTACCCCAGCCTGTGACTGCCCACCCTCATCTTCCTGTGCTTTCACAATGACTCTGGAGCCTTCCCCTGTGTGAAAATAACCAGCGAGATCTCCACCAGGAGCAGACACTGACATTTAAGGTATTAAGTCTCTTAGGTGCGAGCATGCTTGGGTGGTTTGTTGGATCAGATCTGAAACCTCCAAAATTCTGAGCTCCTCATTTCGAGCTCCTCAGCCTCGGTTTCTGGCTTCATGTGACTAGGCTGAGAAAGATTTCCCCTCACCCTCCCATATGCCTCTGTGATATTTTGGAGTGAGTGTTTCTTCTGTGCTCCCCCAGCCAGCCAGGCTCGGAGTGTCCCCTGCTAGCAGGACTCATACAGGGACACGGGGCTAAAGGAACCCGATAACCAAACCCGTGCTTAGGGAAGGCAGCCAAGCACCTTAAAACAGCATCACCAGCTTGGCCCACAAAAAAACATGGGGCCAGATCTTGCCCAAACCGCTCCCAGAGCTCTTGTATCCTTGGGAAACGCCGTGGTCTTAGGTTTGGGTTCACGGCTTGCCCCGGTCTCCCGACTTGGTCTTACTGAAGTGCTGTGCTGGGAGCTGGAGCCTGCCAGAACATCCCCGCTTGCCGTGGGTGTCTGCTGAGCTGGGGAACGCCATCCTCTGCTCCCCACGTCCCGATGCGGTGTGGGGTGCACACCTCGGCCCCCCTGCTCCACTCGGACATTTCTCCAGCGCTGCTTTGCGCAGGGTGCAGCACCTTGTGCAGGCTTTGCCAGGGAGGGAATAACCTTGGGCAGCCAGGCAGGAAACATCCATGTCGTGAGAGGCAGCAGCAAACTTCTGTCAAGGCCTTTGTCTAAGGGCTGGCTTTATTTGCAAAGGGCTTGGTGGTTTCCTGGCTCGTTTCGGCTTTGTTCTTGAGACGGAATGCTAAAGAATCGGGAAATACAGAGTTGTTTTTGGTTTCTCTTCTTGTTAGCTTTGTGCTGCTCGGTGAGCTCGACAGTCTCGCCGAGGAGGCCGAGACAAAGGGAAGAGGGGCGGCAGGAATTGCTGACTGCCACGAGCTATGGGACTTCCTTGGCAATAATGAAATCTTGGTTTCATTCTTCCTCACGCAGGCTTTCCGGGAAAGAGCTGATGGGACTGCTGCTCAGGAGTCAGGTAGGAGTCAGGACGGGCAAGGTGCCCCAGCAGCACGTGTCCTGTGAGCAGGTGGGGCTCAGCCCCTCTCAAGGCACAACACAACGTTCTTCTTTAGGTACGGCAGGAGGGGACCTCCGTGGCTGTAATCATCCAAGCGTCTTTTTAGGGAACTGTGCTCGGTGCAGCTCAAGTCCCCGTGATGCTTACCGGGGAACAGCACAGTAAAATGTTTGAGTGTCAAAGGCCGCTGGTTCTATTTTAGCTCGCTGGAAGCAGAAGTATGCTGAAAGCGTCACACCATGAAACGTATTTCCTAATATTTACTTCTGTAATTATAAATATTCTAATTTATGGATGGAAAAGTTTACAAATAGCCCTCGCATGTCATGTGTGCAGTTCTAGTTCTGCTTTGGGAGGTCGATCGTAATTAGATTACGGTAAACAACAAGCGAAGTTCAAAGGGAAGAAGATAAACATTCCCTGGGCCTTCCTTGGAGGCCAAGGTGCTGACCGAGCTACTGGCTTTGAAATTGAAGCTTCCTGGCTCGTCTGTTTTGAACCGAACCTGGAAACTTAAAAAAGCAAACAAAGAAAAAACAAAGAAAACCCTTAGCAGTAGCGATAATAATACAAAAAAGAATCCCTGTTAGGGGGAGCCCAGGGATTCGGGGGAGTGTTTCTGTCCATACGGACTTTCTGGCTGACTTCTGGGAGTTGCGGGCTGTCGGCAGGCAGAGCAGTTGTCCTGAAGTAATTTTGAGACATCTTTTTCCTGAAGCAAACATCCTCCTGATTTAAAAGCACGATCCGCTCGGTTCTGTAGGGCGCATTAGCTCAGGTATTGAGCTTGAGGAAGAAGCTGGAGAGCTATGGAATTCCTCTCCGGGGGTGATAAAAGCATCAAATGGGTTGTGCAGGAGCAGAGCCAGAATTCCCTGACTTCCAGCATGGCCAGTAACACAAGCTGCAAAAAAAAAAAAAACAAAGAAAAAACATTTGAGAGCAGAGTGAGCAA